CGTAGAGATTCAAGTGGCAACAGGGTGTTTAGCGAGGACATCACGGGGAGACGATAGGTACGCGAATGATGATTGAGATTCCAAGCACTACAGTCGCGATCGGGAAAAATCAGCCTGACGAATGCAATGCGATGACGTGTGTTGTTTCGGGTCAGGAAAGACGAGATCTCCTCTGAAAGTAGAGCGTGGACGCACATCGTGGTAGGATGGCCTAAGCTTTCCAAAACCAGGCCTGGTGCGCGACGTGAATGGTCGGCCCTGACGCCCCCGTTGTGCGGCCTGAGGGCCGGTTTGGCCTGTTCCCACCGATCCTCGTCCTTGGGGGCGATGTCGTCTGCTGCTGCTCCCGTGCTGTGCGCGATGAACGGCCGAGGTGCAGGCGAATCGCTCCCAGCTGCAATGGCCATTCCCGAGGAATCGACCAGTGCCTTTACCACCATTGTCCTTGCAAGGAGCACCCCCACCCACGCGTTTCCTCGTACCTGACGCCTGGAACAGCACCCCCGGGGATATGGAAATAGATTGGGGTGAGGGAGGCAGGGTGTGTGAAGTGGTTGTCTTGCTCCGAAAAACATATCTAGCCACATCCCGATCCAATCACACGTACGTCAGCTCCTTGGAAAGTAATGCAACGAAACCAAGATACGTATTTTATTGGGGACAGTGTCATCAACGGGACATGCGCTAGCAAGCCCGCGGGGTAGCGAGGCGGGCATTGAAGCTCGCTTGCTGTGCCATATGCTTGAGGCGCGCTACAGCCTTTAGGTGTGCAGGACACCACAGGCTGCAGGGCTGCAGGGTAAATAAGTTTAGACCGACGGTAGTACTTGGGAGAAACTGTAGAAAAGACGTGCCGGATAAGCAGCAAGGGAACATCAGGGTGGGGCAACGATCACTTGATGAAAAACTAAGCGAAATGATGATTGGGGTCAAGAATAGTGACCACCTTGTGCTTACCGTTGATCGCGATGCGTATAGCTTCCTCAATCTCGACGCCTTGTCAGGGGAACCATAGAAGTCTACGACGAGTCGTGCCGTAGGTCGTTCGACGTGGACGACGAGCCCCGGGATCTGGAGCGATCGGCCGTCGGCAGAGACCCACTCCCGGAGTGATTCCGTGAGCGGGAGACAGGTCGGCATGAGCAAGTTTTCGATCGCTGGCATGCTCGCTGCACAGATGAGCATCGGGGAAGAAGAAGATGCAGCTCGAGCTCGAGCTGTCGTGAGCAGCGGTCGTAGGGCGCGGGCGCTGCAAGCGTGACTCCTAAGGTCCGCGAGGGCAACCTGATATTGAAGGGTGCGTACAGATTCCTCATTCTCGACGCCTTGTCAGGCGACGCATAGAAGTCCACGATGAGTCGTGCCGTAAGTCGTTCGACGTGAACGATGAGCCCCGGGATCTGGAGCGATCGGCCGTCGGCAGAGACCCATTCCCGGAGTGATCCCGTGAGCAGGAGACAGGTCGGCATGAGCAAGTTTTTCATCGCTGGCGTTGTCGCTGCGCAGATGAGCATCGGGGAAGAAGAAGATGTAGCTCGAGCTGGAGTTTTCGTGAGCAGCACTCGTAGGGCGCGGGAAATGTGAACCAGATGCGTGAAAACCTCCTCGCGCGCAACCCTGTTGCTGAAGTTAACGGTGCTGCGTTTACCCCTGTGCCTATGTGTGGACCGGATATCGCCAAGCATCAGAGGGTTTTGTGATTGCGACATTTTGTGCGTTTCCGGCACAGGTTTGAATTCCACGGGGTGGATATGAAGAGCCCGGACAACATCCCGACATGTACAATATGTGTCGATGTCCTTTGGATACCGTGTGTGCATCGATGTCACACAATGATTGAATCAGAGTTACCCCCCTGTTCCTGACCATCTTCCGGGCGACGGCGAAGACGAGCAACATCGTCAAAGAGACACATCCGACCGTCGTGCAGTATCTCGCCATAGTCCACCCTTCCCGGGAGTTTGGCGGTATGTGGGAGATAGATTTTGTGTCGGCGAGGATGTAGGGGCAGTTCTCCTCAAGCATAAGGCATGACCACCTTTGAAAACTATTTAATAGTGTATCTGGCGCCACGTGCATACAACATAGAGATTGGGTGAGGACAAGCGATTGTATGCCACGCTCAAGGCATCAAATACACGTTGACTGATGAACGAGACGAAGGCGCTCGCATACCGCATCTCGCTTCATATGGCATGCACCGATCATATTCGTGATGGTGAACGAGACGAAGGCGCTCGCATACCGCATCTCGTTTCATATGGCATGCAACGATCCTACACGCGACTACACTCGTGCCGAACTACATGCACCTACAGAAGTTCCTGTGCTAGCTCCGGAGCACCGGCGTGACCGCACTTTCCCCTCGCTCCCGTGAGGTGGACTTTTGAAGAGGAATGCTAGGCCCTTCCCGATGCCGCCAAGGGCAGAGCGGACAGGACCCAAGTGAAAGAACCCCATGTTGCACTTGTAGCAATTAGCTTGCGATGGCTTGCGTTGATCACTGAATTGGCTGCGAGGGGTGAAGTGTGGTTGTGACTTGTGGGGACGTGCAATAGAGCATTGGCGTCGGGTGAGCACGTGTGGATCTTTATTCGAGACTGCGGGGTTGAACCGGCAGTGACGATCGTTCAGACCCCTGTGTTGCACCGACAGAGTGTTGTCACACACGTACGGGGTTGAGCCGATATAACACAGGGAGTACGAAGCTGTCAAGCTCCACACACGGGCTCCTAGAGTAGTGCCGGTACGGACAAATGCCGTCGTTATTGTTGTCCGGTTTGCACGTGGTGAAACGTGTTGTAGTTCGTATTTGTTTAATATTCATGTAGAGTATGAGACATTAAGTGAAAGTTTTCTGAGGTACATCTGCAGTTGTCGGAAGGCAAAAAAAAAAAATAGGAAGAAAACACGCAACACTCCTCGCTCGGTCTGTAGGTTGGTGACGCCACCGCCCCGCACAAATTTTGATGGATGAGGAAAAAAATAGTGACGCCTGGACTTCTGCCTGTGTCTCGACAGATTCATGCAGACCGAGAAGAGCTCCTAGACTATGTAGGTAGCCTGTGCGGCTCTCCTCTGGGCGAGTTATCATCGTCATCATCGTGGAAGGGCAAGAAGCAGTCATCAATAAAAGTATATTACTGCGATTTCTCGCTCGATATTCCTCTTCGTACCTTCTTCTAGGCAGTTCAACTGTGAGTGTATCTCGAATGGGTAGTCTTTCTTTGTGTGTGTACTTATTTTTCCTAGATACCCTGCCCTATGGCCGCGTCACCACGCCCCCCCGTCCCCCATGTGGACGAACACTCTCCATCCCAACTGCACCGTACTCTTTGACCATCTGTCTGTTTGGTTCCGAACAGGTACAACGAGCTGAACGGTGCGGAAGTTTCCGAAGAAAAGGATAACGGTTTAGGGGAAGGTGAACTCCAGGCACTCCACCACGCGTTCCTTGTTGGTTTCCAGCAGCAGTCAAGGGAGGGCGGTCGCGAGGGGCAGGAGGCGGGCGTGAGAGAACCAGTCAGAGTGGAGGTAGTTTCCGTGGACACGGACGTTTGGGTTGCAGCTCTCCTCGCATACGCCCTGCATCCGTGGACTCGAAACGTGCGTGTAGTTGTGCGAAAGCAGAGCGGGTTGTACGCCCAAGCCGCCGTTACCTGCATCGACGTACTTGAGCTATTCAACGCACTGACGAGATTATCGAGTTGGCCCAGTTCGTCCACCCCCTTGCAGAAGTGCTTGCCTGTCGCCTACATGCTGTGCGGAACCGACTTCACCCCGACATTTTTTGGTTTTACTTCGTATTTTATGTTCGACTCGTATTTCGGATATGCCAAGAACCCAGAGAACCATCGGTTCGCAAAGTCCCTGGGTGAGAATGCGTTAACGGATGGAGATGTTACCGGGGTGGCTTTGGGAGGGGAAGAGTTGATCAAGTTCGTTGCCCTCGCATACTATAAAAAGCACCAGGCGTTATTTATATATCCACCCGGGCATCAGGTAGAGCCTGTTGTTGATGCAAGGAAACGAGAGGGGAAGGTTGATGGAACAAAGGCGTGGGTTACTGCCATCCACATGCGCACATCGGAAGCGGCATACGGTCAAGGGAAACCTAGAGAGACTGCCCCTAACTATGACGTTCTCGACCTCTGTGTGCTTCGGATGGAATGGCTGGTGGAGTATTGGCTTTCGATTGTACCCACTGGTGCTGCAGGCTCGACAGCCTCTGACAAGTACCCCATTGAAGCTCCCGAATGGAACGACAAGGGCTACTTGAGGGATCTAGAAGTAGACGGTGGTTGTAAGATGCTGTTGCGCAGAGAGCCGAAGTTAACTATCTGGCCAGGGGGGGTAAGACGGTGAAGTGTAAATGTTCTGATGTGCCGGGAAAGGGTCAATGTGCGCGTTGCATTTGCAAACAAAAAGGGTCGATTTTTTCAGAGCTGTGCAATTGTAAGCGAGCTTGCTGCGTAGAATAGACCTTTGATCGTGTCAGGCTTTTCGATGGAGGTGGGGGAGAATCATCAGATGGGGAGAGCGATGCCGACCAATCCGGTGATGAAGATGATTCTTTGCCTGGTGTGGGCAATTTGGACGGGGGTATGAACATTGGTGGGTTTCGCGAGGATGATATTGCAGAGTACGAGCTGCGCGACCGGATGGATTGGACCAGTCAGCGAGAGCAGTTGGTTGTATCGCCGGGGGAACCGGTTGCTGCCTCATGGGGGCGAGGTACAAATGAAAGGTCTGCATAAAGTGTGACGTTTCAAAAAGTACATAGAAAACACTTGATGATGTTGGTGTTTCGAGCCGGAGCATTTTCGTGGTGTCGACGGTGCGGCATACGTTCAAAGTACATCGATGCATTTCAACCAGAGCATTGCATCCACCTCTTGCTCACGTTGTGCGCCCATCCTCCAATGTCAATGGCGGGTATGAATGAACTGCGCGCACTCCATCTTGGGCCATATCATTTAGCACCCGAACAATCCGAAGTCAAGAGCGTTCCTGTACACGCCAAGCTGCGATGCACTTCCACAGCAACCTCGGCCCGCAAGTCCGAGTGTTTGCTTATCCAACCGCAAAGGCTTTGAAACGTGAGGGCGGTTCTGAAGTATTCTACGTTTTCAAAAATATATATGTTGAGGGCGACAAGCAGGAGCCTCGGCAGCACAGTACACTCCACCAGCACCACCGAAAAAAACTCTTTTCAACGCCAGGTGCCCTACGCCCCTCCTGCAAGCACCCCTATTCAGGGCAGAACACAAGTCTCGACCCCCACTGTTGCCGCAGCAGCCTCCATCGGTGTACCGCACACCCCAAAATTCCCCGACTTTCACATGGTGAGCATTCGTGTACTTGGCTCTACGCAAAAAACCGCACACAGCCGGGGGGTTGTCTACAAGCCAACCCCCCCGATCGGCACAGGGTTCCAGGAACGATAGCGGCAGTTTGAGCGCCACGCCTTTCGTCCCCACCGCCAAAGCCGCCTTGACAAACCCCACGGCACCCTTGTATGGAGGGCTCGTCACGACCCAGTCAGGTTGCTTTCCGGGGTTGGCCTTGAGAAAATCATCCGGAAAAGAGAGCAAGCTCGCGTCCAGGTTGGTACCTGGCGATAACCTTGTGTGGCGGACAGGAACAGATACCACCAGAGGTAAAGTGTGAGTGTTCTCCACTTGCGAATAATTAGAAGATATCGATATATGACGTCGCGCAGAACTGCTGGAGACATAACATTCAAAACGGTGTTACTCGCACAGCCGTAAAGCACCTCCTCACCTCGAGCTCACGTCGTTAGTGAGAACTTCACACGTGCTCCGAAACCCCCGTGCCACCGCGACTTCAGGTCCGCCGCACATGTCCAACACACAACCCGCAATGGCAACAGCATCCCGCAAGACCTCCACCGCCTCCGGCGAAGCACAGTACCGATCAAGCTGCCGGAGTTTATCGTGCGTGACAGGTTCAGGAGCGGCGCTCCACATCCGGCTGTGGCGCGGCGTCTTTTTCGCCTTCCGCGCAACCCGTTCCCTGCTTCGCGCCCACTCGTGCTTCTGGTACAGCTCCAGCAGACAACCCGAACGTTTACATAATGCGAACGAGTTTATGCCCGGGGCGATCGACTGAAAGCCGGGAAACTGTCTGCGATACCAGCCTCGTCTACAAAACTCCGAACTAACCCCCCCGTCCTAGCCCTGGTGTGCCAAGTCTTGGCCCCATTCAAGGCAGGCGCTACAACGGCCGCTGCGGCTGTTCGGCATGATGTGAAGAAAACCTGTGTCGAAATGTAGCACATAGACAAACAAGAGCGGGATCACGTGCGCTTACGACGTTTGGAAACCTATGCACGAGACGATCATCCCATCAACCATGAACAGCGAGCTCCACAGCTGCAACACGTAGTCAACTGTCCGCCATCTCGGCGACGTGCCTTTGCCGTTTTCGAGGTTCCGCCGCGTTTTGTGGGCAACCTTAGGAAAGGGTGATTACGCATTTCATAGTGCTGATCCGAATTTTTACCAGGGTGTTTTCGCTACTTCACCTTTTCAAAGAGACTATTACACACATATCGGACGATTTGGCCCGTGCATGAGAGCACAACTTTCGACCAAAGGTGCCCTCCCAGCGCGGCGCAACCAACTTGAACAACATCCGCTCATCACATTTCCGCTGCGTTTCTCTCTCATTCAAGGGATGTAATGCCAGGATGAACCACTTACAGCTGTAGTCTGTGAAGGTTCCCAACATCCTGCAAAGTTTCGTCTCGGTACCTGCCCTGAGCGTGAAGAACGGTGTGGTTAAGTGAAGCCCAGGCGAACCTGCCGCCGGCTTGGGGCTCAGGCTGTACAGCATCACCGATAGGGTACCCCCACTTGGTTATTGTCCGTACTTTTTTTGGTACGGAGCCCCCAGCAACGCGTGATGGATGTGCTGTGTCATGTGGAGCATTGGCATGGATTCACCGTGCAGTCAAGCAGCAGTCTGACACAAGTCGGTGTACTGTAGTGCGTGTGCTACAACAGTGCTATGGATCGCTTCAGGGGAATGCTTCTGGGCATTGCGAATGCCTTGCTTTGTATCCAGCACTCTGCATCTTTTGCCGTGCAGCAGCCTATCCTTGCATCATCATCGGTGCAGCATCATATAACCACGGCAGCGGGCAGGGCTAGCGAAAGTGCCCTTGTGATGCTGAGATCCCGTGTTGGCCAAAGAAGGCGCGGTGGAAGCAGCAGGAATAGAAGAGACATCTTCAAGGGTGCAGCAGCGGTGACCACGCTTCGAATTAGTGAGGAAGACAGAGAGAGAGACCTCAAATTTGAACGTGAACTCGATCGAGATGCACAGCGGTGGATCAACGGTGATGCGAAGAAGCAGGAGCTCTGGAACAAGGCCAAATCTTGGCGGAACCTCAATAAATGTGAGAGTATGGCTGGCAACATAGGCATACGCATGAGCGGGCGACAGGTGACGTGGGGCGATGGCGTGTTTTTTTGACGAGGAAAATGCGAGCATCATTGTTGTGCACCGTTGTCGGAGGTACGCAATAGTCATGGTGGGCTCCAAGGTCAAGTTCAACCACCCCTGGTGTGCACCGACATACTACACATGTAGAGTGTAGGCAGTGCACGCTGCTCTGCGCGTCGGTTCCGGTGTGCGGGCTACATGCTCAGCCCCCGAATGCTGTGGACAGTTGATTCCTTGTTCCATGCAAGACGCAGGACGCACTTGGTAGGGGGAGTATGCCGTCGATGCCGCCAAGCAACACGTTGCTACCGCTGCTGTACATAGGTCCCGCCGCAACAGATGGACCAAGGGGCCAAGACCACGTTCGCGAGGGGTGTAGAGTTAATCTATGAATACAGGGGGGCGGGGGGTCGTATCCGTTACCCTAACCCTACCCCCCAGCCCCGCCCGACCCCCTACTAAAACCAAGCTTAAATTTCCTGCGAATGTTACTCAGTCTAGTCTATCCTTTCCGTTACCCTTGTTTTGACGGCCTCGACGTCGCTTGGTCCTGCCGCGCGTTTTTGGCCGCAGTGCTTCTGGCGCGCGAGGAGGCGATGTCGGAGCTAGAACGAGAAACCCTTAGGTAAGTTTTTGGAAGCGGTGAGCAGTTTGCCTCTAGCCATTATTGTCAAGTGTACGGCACTATCTCGTCGGCAGGATGTTGGGGTCGTCTATCCGGGAATGCAATAATGTGGGCCTCCACAAAAGGGTGTTGGTTCGTATGCATACAGTGGGTGGCCCGATACAGTGCCGGTTGAATAGTGCCGGTTGCCGGTATAGTGCCGGTGTTTTCGGCTCGCACACACCGGAATATCAAGTCTTTCTGTACTCTGAATAGTGCCGGTGCCCGGTATAGTGCCGCTTTGCTCTCTGAACACATACCGGCACTATAGAGGGCCCCCTACTGTATGTGTGTACCTCGTCGTGTTTCTGCCTTGAGGAAGCAATAGTTTTTGCTTTACTTTTTTTTAACCTTGCCTCACTTGCACGTTCTCGCCGCAATGCTGCGGTGTCTCACATCCCTATCCGTACCCTCGCAAACGGTATCTTGCTAGCCTCCTCCTCGGGACTTGGCCCTACGAGTTTTCTATTTTTTTTCTGGCTGTCTTGTTCCATCCTCTCTCTCCTCTTCACGTTTCTACTCTGTTCCAAGTGACTCTCTGTCACCCGTTCGTCAGTATATGTAGTTGACCGCGTCTCTCGTGGGGTTCAGACCACCACGATCTGCCTGCCGATGGCCGTGATATTCGTATCTTAACAGACAAGAAACTGTAGCCTCCATCATTTCCGCTATGCCCACCACCTGCAGGGATCTTGGTTCGTGACAACTTAAATCGAGGTGTCTCGCCAGGTGCCACCGGAAGATGCGTGCTGGGTCTTGGGGCGAGAGCCTCACACGCTGCCTTTTTCGGTTGAGCGCTGTGTCTTTGTGTTTGGGTCACCTAACACCTCCGCGAGGGAGAGGGCTTTTATCTGGTCATCTAACCGTGTGGCCGTGGGGCTGCTGTTTCGTGTTGACGTGCACAGATACTTCCTGAAGGACGTGCAGACTGTCACGGGATTACCTCTGGTGGAGGAAAACGAGATCACCCCGCTGGCCTGGTGCATCACCCTGACTATTCAGTTAATGCCCCTCGGTGAGATTCGTCGGGTCTGCTTCGTTTTGACTTGATGGCGTGGTGCATCTCGCTGACTATTCAGTCAATGTCCCTAGCTGAGTCTTAGGGAGGATTAATGTCGTGTCTCCGTCGTTATGTTTTCGTCTCCGAGTTCCTGCGGTCAGAGTTTTGCGCTGTTTCTCCATCTCCTCGCACACAACATACCGCGGTCTTTCCAAAACCAACATAACAGTTGCTCTGATCACCATAATCCCTTTGAGAAGCTTTGATTTTCAGTCTGCATCAAACGGCGTGACGACGACGTCCCCACGCTAAGGCGGAAGTAGCGTTTCGCCCGGCAGCGGTGAGCCAACGGTTGAGAGACAGCTTCAAGCTTCGTCCAAAGATACACGATCAAGCAACTGGAGAGGTTTAATTTGGCACTGCATACAAATATTGTCGGTGGTCGAATTGAATCAAACCAAGGATCGCGTCACAGCAGTGGTTACGGGTGCTGATGGGCCTGGAGACCTATTTTTTTCTTGTAATCAGGACGATTTCGCAAACTTTGGATGGACCGCGTAAAAGTTTCAAATTTTGTCCAGTCGTCGTGTTGAAATCCGAACCCCTTGTCTCTCCCAGATCGTGCCTTTATGTTGGAACCTATTTTTTCATTTTGAACGACAGTAAGTCCCAGCCTCAAGGATAGGTTTAGTTGTGGCAAGACCCCGTGAAGAGATGCGATGGTGCGATAGGGAAATACGGCACGTCGAGCGCTTGCTTGTGGTGTTTATAGATGAGCATCCCCCCATTGCGAATTCGAAGATGATTGTGGGAATCATGTTTTTTTTCTCGAAGTTGTCGCCGCCCGTAGTTTCGGCCGACGCAAGTGCTGCGTTCCCCTGCTTCTCTGCTGTAGCGGACCTGTTCCGGGTTCACACAGAAAAGCTCTTTCGTGCTCGTTTTCATGTTTTCCTAGGGCGGATCGGCGGTTCCTTCCCTTCATGCTATTTCGTGCGAAATGTTGGAAGCACCGATTGTCACCAAGATTCGAGTTCTCAGCCTCTCCTCTAGATAGTTTTTGATGTCACCGGCTGAGTTGATCACGAGGTTGCGATTGTCGTCCACTGTTCTGTCCCTATCCGTGTATGTTAGCGCGTGGTTCGTAGTGCTTTCCCAACGACCTCGAACCGATGATAACTGCTTTCAAAACGTACAAGGGAAGGAATTTATTGCTTCCTCATGCCGGGGTCCTGGTCGATGCGTTTCCGGCTTCACACCCTCTGCAACTCGATTCATCGCGCACGAGGTTCCTGCCATACATTTCTCCCATTATGTACGTACACTGTCAGACCTCGAGATTAGACCGCTAACGACCAGCAAATATCGGCATAACAACCAGCCCAAGAAACATTTTTTTTTCCTGACTCGGTGGCCGAAATATTATTATCTTGGATTGAGACTGGGATTTAACAATCAATAGTGCTGGCCCCAGGTGGAGAGTTAGCGCTTCAACCTTTACATCACCTGTCTACAGATCATACTCTATGGATCACCCGGTTTGGATTTTTTGTCGGCACCCCGGAAGACTGAGAACATACGTTTATACTGGATTTTAAGGCCTTTGGCCAGGTTTCTCGTTTTTTTCCCGTTGAGTTCGAAAAACTGAATCGGGTGATCGCTTCCTTTGGGTTTTGCGCACACACCGCAACGAACCGCATCCCGATCCTAGCTGTTGCGGTAGAGAGATTGCAAACGCCGCAAAGCCTCTCATGGGCACCGCTGGACGCAAAAAGAAATGGACGAAGGGGAGGAGAAGAAAAAGCTTCAAGGAACAGGGCGAAAACGTTGTGGCGCGAAGTGGTATCACGTTTTCCCAAGCGGAAGTTGATGCGCGCCGCTTGAAGGCTCTCGAGGACAAGGACTACCCTGCCTTGTCCAAAATATTGTTACGTGCCCGCCCATCCTGCTGTTTTGATTGGTTGGAAAATATTTTAAAACTCTATTCGGCTAGCGACCAAGGACATTTTTTCGCCCTGAAAAACTTTTAATCTCGAGGTCTATCTGTAGTCGCAACTTTGTCGAAAATAGATGTAATTTTTGGTGTGACCAAGAATATCATTTAGGTACCAAACACAAGCAATGTGCAAATATCGATCGGGACCCAAATGGAGATGATTTTTGTTAGAATGGACCATGGGCATGCACGTACCGACGTTTCTGCCTGCGCGTTGCTTAGGCTTTGGCCTAGCGCAAGTTTCCCTCTAGTTTATCGATCAGGCACGTCAAGTGCGTGGACTTTCCGCTCGGTCTGCTTGCCGAAGTTCACCACCCCCCTGCCCTTCCCTCAATGGTAGAGAAGACCGCGCAAGGGGGGAATACAGGGGTAGCAACTTTGCGAGGTTGTTGTTGTTGTTGTTTCTCACATAAGCTCTAAAAAAAAAAAAAATAGGGTACAAACCACTCGGAAAAAGAAAACAAAATGATAGAAAGAAAAGAACAGGTATCGCAGCGACCGTTCGAGAAAAGAGCCCTCGGACACCGATCAAAACAAAACAAAACAAAAACAATGGAGGACGCTTCCCACACCCGCCCAAAGAAAAAATCAAGGGGTAACGCACCAGCACCAGGCACCACGCACCAGGGCATGGGAGTAACGGAGCAAACAGGACAAAGAGGCGGCAGATGGGCAGACAGCCAGACGTACAAAAACAAAGGCAACAGCAAAGCGAGATCAAGGTACCCAACACAGCAGAGTAGGCAGGGAGGTCATGAAAAAAAA